ACATCGACTACGCTCTTCCAATTGTGCTGCTATTCTCACTCTAGATGAAGGCTTACATAACAAAATAGTTTCTCATTTAACAGTTAGTACACATGTTGCCCTGTGACAGTGGTTAACAATCTCACAACGCATCAACACTATCCTTACTCAACCTTGGGTTCCCTTATCACCAGCTTTCCTGTCCCCTTCTGCCTTCTGGCCCTTGTCCCTGGACTGCTGTGCCTCATTAGTGCCATTTGATTTTATGGGGCTGTCCACTTCCCGGCTGAATGGTGAACCTTGGAAATGACTTCACCACTGAGCTAAAAGGGTGTCTGGGGGCCATACTCTCGGGGTTTCTCCAGTCTCCTTTAGGCCAGTAAATCTGGTCTTTTTTTTGTGAGTTAGAATTTTGTTCTACATCCTTCTCCAGCTCTGTTCAGAACCCTCTGTTATGATCCTGGTCAGAGCAGTCAGTGGTGGTAGCCGGGCACCATCTAGCTGTACTGAACTCAGTCCGGTGGAGGCCTTGGTAGCTGTGGTCCATTAGTCCTTCGGACTAATCTTTTGCTTGTATCCTGTACTCTTCATTCTCCCTTGCTCCCAAAGGGATGAGACCAGTGGAGTATCTTAGATGGCTGCTCACAGGCATTTAAGACCCCAGACGCTGCCCACCAAGATAGAATGTAGAACATTGTCTTTATAAACTGTGTTACGCCAATTGAGCTAGATGTTCCCCGAGACGATGGTCCCCAGAGCCCTCCACCCAGCAGTTCAGTTCCTCAGGGAGTTTGGATGTGGCAGCCGAACTCTTAACCACAGTGCCACCAGGGCTCCGTTGGGTGCATAGATATTTATTGTTGTTATCTCTTCTTGGTGGATTGACCCTTTAATCATTATATAATGCCCTTCTTTGTCTTTTATGATGGATTTTGATTTAAAGTCTGTTTTATCCAAAATTAATCTTGCTAGTCCTGCTCTTTTTTGGGTACTGTTTCCTTGATATGTTTTTTCTTTTTTTCCCCATCCTTTGATTTTTAACTTGTTTATGTCTTTGTGTCTGAGTTGTGTGTCTTGTAAGCAACGTATTGATGGGTCTTTTTTTGTTTTTTGTTTTTTTTTTGTTTGGTCCTTTCTGCTATACTCTGTCTCTTGGCTGGTACATTTAATCCATTTACATTCAGTGTGATTATTGATGCATTTGGATTTATTGCTGTCATTTTGTTATACTTTTGTTGTGGTGTTAACTTTTTGTATATAGATATTGTATATAGATTTTCTTTTCCTAGCAATTGCTGATGTTTTTGTGTTTACTGAGTCTTTTTGCTTTATTTTGGTGAGTAGATTTATTACTTTTCTTAGTAGTTACCATGAAATTTACATTCATCCTCTTAAATGTAAAACAGTCTGTTATATCTTGAAATCGCCTTGATTTCTTCCCCATATGGAAGTTTTATAACTACGTCTTTTATTCCCTCTTCTGTTTTGTAGTTGTTGTCGCTTACGTCTTAATTTTTCTGGTTCCCTGTAGTCAGATTTTTTAGCTTCATTTTGCTTTTGCAGAGTCTTTATCTGGGTAATAATGTCGTGTGTCTTTATCTCATGTTATTGGTTCTTTATCTGAAGGACTGCCTTTAATATTTCTTGCAAGGTTGGTATGATTCTCACAAATTCCCTTAGTTTCCGCTTATCTGGAAATGTCTTAGTTTTTCTGTCATTTTTGAAAGACCATTTGCTGGCTGTATGAGTCTTCTTTTGGCAGATTTTTCCTTCAAGATTTTATATATGTCATCTCATTGTCTTCTTGCCTGTATGGTTTCTGACGAGATATCAGCACTTAGTCTTATTGGTGCCCCTGTGTAAGTGATATTTTGTTTTACACAAGCTGCTTTCAGAATTTTTTATTTTTTGGTCTTTGGTTTTGGAAATTTTGATTATGATATGTTTTGATGATTTTTTGGGGGGAAGGTCTGTCCTGTATGGGGTTTGTTGAGCTTCTTGGTTAGTAACCTTCTCGTCTTTCATGATACTTGAGAATTTTTCAGTATGTCTTTAGAAATTCTTTCTGTACTTTTGTTTTTTATCTCTTCTTCTGGAATTCTTATTAACATGTAAATTATTTCTTCTGATGGTGTCCCACATAATTTTTTGGCTTTTTTTTTCATTTTTCTTCAGTCTTTTTTCTGATTGTTCCTGAAACAAGTTTAGTACCAAGGGATTTTTCCTCTATTTCATTGATTCTTTCTTCCATGGAATCAGTTCTACTTCTGTGTCCTTCTGTTGAGTTGTCTATTTCTGATATTTTATTGTTAATCTTCTGGATTTCTAGTTGTTGCTTTTGTATGGTTTCTAATGTCTATTCATGTCTGTCATTTTGTACTTGTTTTGTTTTCTTGAATTCTTCTAGGGTTTTGTCTGTTTTCCTTGATACTCTTTTGAAGTCCTTATCAGGTAGTCTAGTACCATTTCTTCTTCAGGAGAGTTTTTTGCCCCTTTGTTTTGGTCATTTATTTGAGCCATCTTATCCTGTTTTTTCATATGATTTGTTATTGTCTGTTGTCTCTGAGGCATTTAGGTGTTATTTTAGTTATTAATGTATATCTGTTTCATACTTCTTGTTTTGTTTTGATACATTAGGGCGGGTTGGTCAGGTGTGCTTTGCCGATCCCTTATCTGGCAGTACAGGAGCACTGATCACATGTCTCTGGGTGGGTGGGACAGTGACGGGCAGGGTGAACATATGGTGCTGTTCACTGGCCTTGCGAGAGCTGAGGGCAGCTTGGGCTGGTGCTGACCACGACCTGTCTGTTCAGCATGTGGGAGCACTTACAGATGCTCATCGGGTAGGCAGGGCAGTGACCTGCGGGTATGGTGAGCGGCTGAGAGTGTGGGAGTGCTCCCTGCTGTTTGCCATGTGGCCAGGTTGGTGGATGGGTACAGGGTGAGGGGCCAGGAATGTGGGAGTGGTCTGCTGCTCAGTGGGTTGGTGAGATGGGGCATCTGCTTTTCGAAGGGTGGGTGGGGGCAGTGGTGGATGGGTCTGGGTTAGGAGGAGGGAGGACTTGTACTGTGGTCCCTGGCAGTTGGGGCTGCTGGGTTGGGGGTGCTCATTCCACTGATCACCAGGGGGTTTAGGGGAAGGGGAGTGTGTTCCTCTAGTCACCAAGCAGGGGTGCCTGGCTATTTCCCATTGGCTGTAGCCAGCAATCGGAACCTGGCCCCAACCAAGTACAAGGATGGGGGCTGCCCATAGTTTGGTCATGTAGGACACCTCTTGCTGACACTCTATGGATCTGTTACTCTGTGTGCGCCACCCACCCAAGTGGTCAGGGACCACTGCTGGTAAGTAGCCCTGTCTCTGGGACCTGGCTCCCTCCCTGCTCTGTGGACACTGGTATCCCTGGTGCTTTCGCCTTCCTTCCTATACTTTCCCTCCTTAGATCCAGTTCATGTCACATTTACGTTCTTCACTCAGTGTATGTCTACACAGTTTCTCTGTTTCCTGTTGGGAATTCCATGAAGTTGGCTTCTTGTGCACCTCACCTGAGATCACTGCTGACTTTGTATCAGGATGGCCGTGCTGTGCCAGTTTGGCTAGCAGGGCACGTCTGCTCCGTATCTCTCCTCGTTCGTTGTTTTTGATCAGTTTCTTCTTCCAGTTGGTGTTTGCTCTAATTCTTTAAACTTTCATTTGATGCTCAGGGTTCCAGGATTGTCATCCATATCTGTTTCACTCAGTTACTCGGGTCTTTGCTGTAGAGGGATGGCACGGTGTGTCTGACTAAGCCACCATCTTGGCTCCTGCACAGTATTTTTCTATTTATAACTTTCTATTCCTATTACCACCAGTATAGTTTAAGCCCTAATCACCTCATACTTTGCATTTGTAGTAGTTTATATTCTGTGACACTGAATTTACATTCTGGTCTTTTTCCTTCATTCCATTCTTCTTAGCAGCCCTTCAGTATAAAAGACTGCATACATACATAACTCTCCAACCAGGACCTTGCATGGCATGCTTTTTAATTCCCTTATTACCCTGTTACCTTCCTCCAGATGGTTTTTTTGAATCCAATTGTAGGACTTTACATTTCTCCATACTATTTTGGCCTAAGGTTGCATCTTGTCCAGATAGTTTTGAATCATAATTTGGTCATCTGTTTAGTTAGCCATGCCTCCCAGCTTTTTGTCATCTGCAAATTTGATCAGCATGTCTTTCTGTCATCATCTAAAAATAGTGGATAAGATTAAGGACAGAACCTCATGTTATTCTTCTAAGTGTCGTCTTAATAGTTTACATCATCCTTTATTCTCTCTTTATGTTCTTAGTCTGGAAACACAGATGACTATACACAGTGTTGTCTAGGACATCTTTATTCTGTGCCTAGACTTTATAGATGTGCTACTCTATTGTTTATTCATAGTTGATAATCACAGTTTACCATTTAATTGTTTGATATCCATTAATTTTTGTTAGAAGTTGTAACCGTCACTTTATTTCTTTAGTATGTACATTGTTAAACATAAATGGTCAACATTTAGTAAATGTGTGTTGATTAGAATAATCTGTATTATGTCTACATTAATACTTAGCAATCTTAAACATTTCTCTTTTATAGAACATCACTTTTAAGGGAAAGAATAGACAATGGTGTAAAGAATTTTGTCCGTAGAGTTTTAAAGATTTTCATAGTTTTTCTTTGTTTAAAAAATATGATGTCTTCACTGAAGAAAACAGTTTGCAAAACACTATGTATGGTAAACTCCATTTTTGTGAAAACACATAGGAAGATACTTGGAAGGGTATAATTTTAAGTGAAATATTAATAATAGCTCTTTCTGGTTGTTCAGTTTATAAGTAGTCTTTATCTTCTTTATGCTCATTTTCTGTCCTTTTTTTTTCCTAATGAGTATGCACTGTGCTTATTATCAGAAAAAAAAAAAAGAACTAAAAAAAGAAAAATACTGGCTTAGTTATGAGTTGCTGTGTTAACTAACGCATTGTGACTTTTCGTTTCTAGAAAAGACTTGATGGAACCTACATGGATGCAGCCTGACAGATTGAGCCCACGAGTCCACCATTCTCAACCACAGCCCCTTGTTGGAACAGCTGGAAATTTACTGTCCCATCTCTTGAGTCTAGAGCATGTAGGAATTTTGAATAAGGATTTTGAATCTATTTTACCAACCAGGAAGAATCATAATATGGCTTCGGCGCCATTAACTTTTACACCTCAAACATATCTGACCTCACCAGCTGCTCATCCAGATGCCTTGTTAAAACCTAGTGCTAGCCAATATAAGAGTAAACTGGATCGTATTGAAGCTTTGAAAGCAACAGCTGCTTCTTTATCCAGCAGGATTGAAAGTGAAGCTAAGAAATTAGCTGGGGCCAACATTAACTATGGGTCATTATGGAACACTGAGTGTGATATGCAGCAAGCACCTCAAGAAGATGAACCTTGGACCAAGGCGATAAGTCCACCTGTGAAAGAGGATACTGAAGATGTTTTCTCTGCCCGAATTCAAAAGATGCTGGGAACTTGTGTATCTCATGCAACCTTTGATAATGATCTTCCTGGTGTAGGCAACCTTAGTGAATTTAAGAAGCTTCCTGAGATGATCAGACCTCATAGTGCCATATCAAGCTTCAGAATGAGATCCCCTGGTCCTAAACCAGAAGGGCTGTTGGCACAGTTGTGTAAGAGGCAGACTGACTCTTCTAGCTGTGATGTGCAAGCCTGTTCTCAAGATAAAGCCAAAATGTCACATGGTTCCAGCACAGATTCAATCAGTGAAGGGCCACTTCTTAGTGAGGGGAGTCTCTCTGAAGAAGAGGGAGGCCGAGATGGGCGGCCCCTTTTGAAGGTGGCAGAAATCTTAAAAGAAAAGGAATTTTGTGCTGGAGAAAGAAATACTTATGAACCCATCAAAGAGTTTCAGAAGGAGGCAGAAAAATTCTTGCCACTTTTTGGGCACATAGGTGGTACACAAAGCAAAGGACCGTGGGAAGAATTAGCAAAGGGAAGTCCACACAGTGTCATTAATATTTTTACAAAATCGTATCAGTTATACGGAAAAGGTGAGAAGAATATGTAAGTGCTGTAATATTTGTATGTTATCTTAAGATAAGTTACTTCATACTTTCTGTACAGTACATATATACATAAGTACGCAATTTTATTGTTGATTATGAGGATAATGGAGAGTTTTTATTTTTATTGTACTTCAGGTGAAGGCTTACAGAAGAAATAGTTTCTCATGAAATAGTAGTACACATATGTTTATGACATTGGTTAACAACCCCACAACATGTCAACCCTCTCCCTTCTTGACCTTGCTTTTTTTTTTTTTTGGTGAAAATATACATAGCCAAAGATACACCATTTCAAAAATTTCTACATGCACAGTTCAGTGACATCGACTACGCT